ACAGGCCGGCCCCCCGCTGGCTGGGGGAGGGGCGGGGGCAACACCGAGGGTTGCGATCCCGTGGCCGGTCCCGGTCCGGTACGGGCGCGACACTGAGGGTTGCGATCTGTTGCCGGTCACGAAAAAAGACAAAAAGGAAAAAAAAAAAATAGAAATATTGGGTGCTCTGTTATTAAGAATCATCCTTCCTCCATCTTGAGTCATAAGCAAGAAAGTAGAGGGAACCAGAGTTCTGAAAAGAGCTGATGAGGACAGACAGCTAGAGCACAACAGGTTTATTACCAGTCAATACCTCTCATCAATACCCCAGTAATACCCCCAGGCTGAAGTGAGGAAATACCCACTGTAGTCACTTCATTTGTTTTTTGAACAACACAGAGTTTATCATTCCAAATGAACAATGGCCCCTTCAAAGCAGTCCACTTGTTAAGATCCGCTTTGGAAGAGCTTCCACAGCCAGCCAAGAAGCTGCACCAGAAAGACAGCAGTCTCATCACTTAAGAGTCAATCATAAGTTCTGACCCCAAACTGCTTTATGTGGCATATTCGTCCCACAGTTTAATAACTAAATGCCTTTTGGCAGCATCCAAATATTAAATCCATTCTCTGAAAGGAGATTTGCTATTTCTGAGTATGTGATATTCAAAAGAAGAAGCGACTTTCAAGTTAAGGGAAAGAGAGTAGATTAAAGGCTTCTGTTCTTGCTCCTTCCTCAATAAACAGGTTTGAGACAGCAACCCAAATGAAAAAGAAATTAAAAGAAAAGAAATAAAGATAAGGCCGGCCCATGGCTCACTCGGTAGAGTGTGGTGCTGATAACACCAAGGCCACGGGTTCGGATCCTATATAGGGATGGCCGGTTTGCTCACTGGCTGAGCGTGGTGCTGACAACACCAAGCCAAGGGTTGAGATCCCGTTACCGGTCATCTTTAAAAAAAAAAAAAATCTTTCAGGGAAAAGAGAAAAAAGAAGATATGAGCATACTTTAATTTAAATTCAAAGTTTTTCTTACTTTTAATTATATTAATTACTTATATTAATTATATTTTTAAACCATACTTAAACCCAATTGCAAAACATTAAGTCCAGAGTGATTCCATTTTTTGCTCCTCCCCCCAAAAGTAAGTGTGTGTGTGTGTGTAAATGTCCCTACATAAACATACAAAGTTTCTTTGGAAGTAAAGTTATGGGTACTTTCTATTTTCTATCTTTGTCTATTTGTATTTTCTAATTTTTATTCAAGTCAGCTTCATTTTTTTAAATAGATGAACAAAGTATCTGATTCTCTTCATATCGAAATAAATTCTAGATGGATCAAAGATTTAAGTTTAAAGAGTAAATTTAAAGATTTAAAAACACAAACATAGAGTACTTAAACAAGTAGCTATGTTTATAATTTTGGGGTGGGGAAGCATGCATTTTCTAAACATTGGTCTAGTAGCAGAAAAAAACTATATCGGAAAAGATCTGACTACCTAAAAACGTAAAACTTGCAGACAGAAAAAAACTGCATAAACAAAACTGGAAGACAAATGACAAACTGGGAACAGTTCTGCATTATGTATGAGTTGATATGTTAATTATTACAAATTAATAGGAAAGTATTATTGGAAAAATGTGCAAAGGATATGAATAAATGATCCGAAGAAAAATAAAAATGTTCAAAATACATTTGAAAAGATGTTCAACCTTTAATATTCAAAGAAATGCAAATTAAAACATATTGTTGACTGCTATATCTGTTACTATTCCAAGCATTTCACTTGAATTAACTGACTTACACCTTATAATAACCCCAAAAATAAGTGCTATCACTACCCCTACTTTACCAAAGATGAAACTGAGGGACAGAGAAGGTAAATGACTCACCCAAGGTCACATAGTAAACAGCTGAGTCAGAATTCAGAACCCAGCAGGCTGGCTCCAAAGTCACATTCTTAACCACCGTGTTACAAGACCTGTCAGATGGGAAAGAAGAAAAACACAATACCCAATGTTATTAAAACCATGGGGAAACAAGCAATTTTATGTGCTGTTGGTAGAAGTTTACATTCTTAAGGGTAGTTTGGCTCCATGAATTGACATTTTAAATGTGCAAATCCTTTAACTCAGCCATTCCATTTCTTGGAGTTCATCCTAAAAAGATAGTGAGTAAGTGTGCAAAGATGTGCAAAAAGTGCAAAAAGTTCATGGAAAGATTCGTATTACCTTCAGTTCTATTTTTCCACAAACTTTTTGAAGTACCCTCACATATACCAGGATGTTTATTACAGAATGTTCATAATAGCCAAGATATTGCAAATAAAAAGCCCAATATATACACCAGAAGTTTCACACTCAACAAGTATTTATTGACTTCAACTGTGTACCAGGAACTATTCTAAACACCAGATATAGGGCAGTCAATAAAAAAGAAAAAAATGCCTGTTTTCACAGAGCTTACATCCTAATGGAGGGAGTTAGGCAATAAATAAATGAGAAAAGTATGTAGTATATCAGGTGGTGCTAAATGCTATAAAGAAAAATATAGGAGGGAACAGAGATCGGGAAGAAAGGGGGACTGATACAATTTTAAGGGGAGTCAGAGATAACCCATTGCTGACAGATAAGATAAATGGATTAAATATTAAAGAATAAAATGTATATGATATACTCACTCATTAAATTCTGCCATTTATTCTGTATTTATGAAAAGATTTCTCCAACACTCAATCAAGTGAAAAAAGATCACAAAACAGTATTAAGGGGGAAAAAACAGTATTATTAAGGTATAATTCCATTGATGTAAAATTTCACACGTGTACATGCTTATACTCTACTGGGAGAGAGGAACAACACATAAAGAGATCAATAATACCAAGCAAGGGTCCAGGCTGAGTGCCAGGCAAGTGACACAGGCAGTGTGTTTATTCTCCCACTCCCTCACTCATCCTCCTTCCCACACCTACACTTTGTTCCAGAAAGAATTTAAGGACAGCAAATCTACCTACCCCCTCAAGTTCTTTATTTTCCTCATCCTCTCACCCTTTCCCTCCTCTCTCAAGAAGCCAGGCCAGTGACAGGATGAAAACAGGGCATAAGAAGGATGAAGGGGTGCTGCTGATAATACCAAGGTGAAGGGTTTAGATCCCCTTACCAGACAGCTGTCAAAAAAACCCACAAAAAACAAACAAACAAAAAGGATGGGGCTGGCCAGTTAGCTCAGTTGGTTAGAGCATGGTGCTAATAATGATAACATCAAGTCTAGGGTTTGATCCTTGTAAGGGCCAGCCACAAAAAAATAAATTATAAATACATTTTTTTGAAAAGATGGGGCTGACTGTTAGGTCAGTTGGTTAGAGCACAGTGTTATAAAACCAAGGTCAAAGGTTCAGATCCCTATACCAGCCAGCCACCCAAAAATAAATAAAGTTTAAAAAGAAGAATGGAGGGAAATGCCCAAGGGATCTGGACAGGATTCCTCTTATTTCAGCACATGGAAAACAGGTCCTGGGAGGCACAACTCCTCTCCTGCAGAGATACAGGATTTGAAGCAAAGTTACCTGACTCAGATTCCCTATTTCATACCCTACTAAACCCAACATGCCTTGCAGGGACAGTGGAAGCAAGACTGACTCATCACAGGGAGGTGAGAGGCTATGGCAGGCCAGAGATCTATGCCTTACACACAACTGCCTTCATCTTTCTATGAGCACAAATGACAGAACCAAACCCTTTTTGCCCCTTACCTTGTCCCCTCCTCTATGCCTACACCCACCAGCTAAGTTAACTCATGGTCAACTCCCCCACACACCCACTGCCTGGCCATAGCTACCTTAAAGATTCACAGACTTCCCCACGAAGATCCTCGAGACTAGGTCCCTACCAAGAATGCTGCCTAGGGTGACCAGACATGCTAGTTTGATTGGAACACTTTCAGTCTGGGGTGAGGTTTTGAGTAACCTGGTGGACAGGGCCCAGATACACTTGTATCTGCTCTTAGAAATATGGGAGCAGATTACACTTCTTGCCTGAGCATAAAAGCCATAAACAAGGAATTGGCAATTTCCCAAAGGTAGAATACATGTTGCTATCCCCTATATCTTTAGCCTGGAGCAAGGAATGGAGGTACATGAGTGGAGGTAAGGGGCTTAAAGGAAAGATTTGATAGTCTGGTTGTTTTTTTTTCCCTTTTTAGTCTTTTTTCGTGTCCGGCAACGGACCACAACCCTCAGTGTCGCGCCCATACCGGACCGGGGTTTTATTTGTTTTTTTTTTAACATGCATAAAATAACTTAAAGACTTAAATGAAACAATTCACAGCAGAATTCACCTAGGTTTTTCTGTTTTTCCCCAATCTTTTTGGTTTTCTCACCTTTACTTTATTTGAAAGCAATATTTGTTTTTTTTTTTTCCCTTTTTAGTCTTTTTTCGTGTCCGGCAACGGACCACAACCCTCAGTGTCGCGCCCATACCATACCGGGACCGGCAACGGGATCGCAACCCTCGGCGCTGCACCCGCCCCTCGCTCAGCCAGTGAGCGGGAACCGGTCTGTATGTGGGGTCCGAACCCTCGGCGGGAGCGCCACCGCACTTCCCAAGCGGCGCACTGTAGCAGTGCGCCACCGGGCCGGCCCAAGATTTGATAGTTTTAAAATACTTCTCACATAGTCTCTCTGTCCCTTCTTAGACACTTACTTTATACCAGACCCTGTTAAGTTTTTCATATATTATCACCAAAAATAGCAAAATCACTTCTATCAAATATTTCTACTATGTGCTACTGAATTTGAGAAGCCTAAGGCACATTCCATTCCAGCTTCCCTGTTGACAATTAAATACCCAGACTTGATATTATGAAGAGGATAGAAATCTGAGATTCTCTTCAGGGCTGTAACACAGAAGTCTCTCTACATACTATCAGGCCAGAGCCTAAAGGGTGCAATCTGGCTTCTGCTCTCTTTCCTGGGCTTTCAGCAGGGAACATACACACACAGGCACACACCCCAAGTCCTCAACACACTTAGTCTACAAGTGGAAGAAATTCTGTACTGGTGTAGGGTACAAGATGAGTTAGGAAAAAAACAAAAGCAATCACTTCTTGGGCAGAGGTGCCTCTCTCTCTCTCTCCCCACCTCCCTCTTATCTTCACTGAATATGTATTTATTAAGCAACTCTTATTAAGATTGTCACTGTAGGATATAATCATAAGATATGCCTCCTGCCTTCAAGAATTGACTCCATTCGGGGAAACAAAATCAACACACAGGAAACATGTCATTAAAAAGAGGACTCCAAGATTTTTAGCATATGGAACAAAAGAACATAGATGCTGTTAAAACAAATGGAGGGGTAGGTAAAGTAAGACAAATGGTGGGATGTCCTGATGTACCCAGGTATCTTAAATTTCAAACACAACCAAATCTCTAGCCCCCTTTCTTTTTTGTTCCATTCTTAGTATAGATGTGTTTCATTTCAAGAAAAATCTCAAATACAAAAATCCAAGACACAGAGTTGGAGATCATTCATAAAACAAAAAGGAGTTTCCTCTTTCCTGTAAAGTTAACAAAAATGCAATTTAACCATACCTCAATCCCTGTCCCTGCTGCATATGTACAGACATACACACACACACACAATGTTTATATCCAACTTTTTAGGATCATATTTATAGAGTAAAGCAAAGTACCTTAAAAAAATTATAAAAGGCAACATATTGATGGATGAATGGATAAACAAACTAGTATATACATAAGATAGAATATTATTCAGCCTTAAAAAGGAAAGAAATCCTGGATGAAACTTGAGAACATTACGCTAAGTGAAGTAAGCCAGTTCCAAGAAAACAAATATTATTAAAGCCAGTTCTACTTATATGAGGTATCTAAAGTGGTCAAATTCATAGAAAAAGAAAGTAGAATAGTGATTACTGGAGGGAAAAGGGTGGCAGAGGGGGGGAAGGGAGTTGTTAAATGGGTATAGAGTTTCACTTTTGCAAGATGAAAAAGCTCTGGAGATCTGTTGCACAACAGTGTGAATATACCTAAGACTACTAAAAGGTAGACTTAAAAATGCCTAATATGGTGAATTTTATGTGTTCCTTAAACATTTTTTCTTTTTTAAAAAAGACAATGTACACATGGTAAAAAATTCAGCAACACAGCTTTAAAAAAAAAAAAAACTTCCAGAAATAGTCTGGGTATATAACATACAAATTCATACAAATACTAACACTAGCACACTAACCAAAAACACTATTCTGCACACTTCTTTAGTTTTCTCTTGATGATAAATCTGAGAGATTGTTCCTTATCAGTGTGTTTATGTTTATCTGTATCATTCTTTATAATAAGGCAATATTAGAAAGAATGATAATATGGCAATATTATATGGCATATATGGCAATGTTATTATATGGCAATATAATATGGCAATATGTTTATCTGTATAATATGGCAATATCCACTATAATTTACTCAAGTAATCCCTTATCAATATATAGTAAGATGTATTTTTAAGCAAAATATATTAAAGGTTTTGCATACCAATTTTGCATATTTTCCCCTCAACAAAGAATGTCCAGATTTCACTTTCTATATCCTCCAAGAAATTATGAGTTTATGATTAATATTTGCTTTGGTTTGAATTTAATAGTGTTTCACCTCAGCTCATCTCTACTAGGTTATATGTAGGCTTTGTCTGTGTCATGAGGAGTGACCAAGGATATGATCAAGGAAATACATGAAATATACATCATCCTCCAAACACTATAGTCACCTTTTACTCTATCATCCTTATTAATGGCTTGTCAATTGTATACATTTTACTGTACTTAACTCTGAGGAAATTTTTTTTTAAATAGTTTTGTTTTGTTTTGTTTTTAAAGATGACCAGTAAGGGGATCTTAACCCTTGACGTGGTGTTGTCAGCACCACACTCTCCCAACTGAGCTAACTGGCTATCCTTCCTACATAGGGAT